GCTGCCGGGGCCGCCGGGAGCCGCAGCCGCGGCTTCTCCTTTCTCCTCACGGCCCGTTGCGTCGCCGCTTGTGACCGCGCGTTTTAGACATCCCTGCCTCCTTACTGCTGCTGGCAGGGCTCAACTCTCATTAGTCCTAAGTCAAAAGAAGAGCCAGAGACCGTTTCAGTAACCAAGTTAATGAAGGAGCCCAAGCTGTTGGTTGTGGAAAGAGCAGGTGCAGAGGAATGCAAATGGCCATCCACCCTTGGCATTACTATTTATGCTTTCAAAATTTTGCAGGAAGCTTTGTCTTCTTTTCAGTCTGTCTAAAATAGCAGAATTATTAGATGTCAGACTCTGTGTTCTAGACATAAACAGAGTTGGCTTAGCTTCTAATATCATGGGCATGGTAAGTAGCAACAGTCACAATATTCTTTTGAATTTGTCGCTAAAGAGTGTCCAGAAGATTTCAGGCATCCACACTGAGGATAATAAACTCAAATGGGCACTAAAAGCTTTCGCAGTCAGAAGCTGTGTCCCCAGTGCAAGGAAAAAGGGCCCAGTATTTCTTTTTAATACTCCAGCATGTGATCCATTCCTTCCTATACTGATTTCTCAAGATGATGCTTTTCTTATGGGAACTCAAGTAGCTTAATACCAGATTTTGTTCTTGAGACCATGTGATGTTTTTATAATAAGGTATATTTTCTCCCTCACTATGACATTTTTTTTGCCAGTTTTTATGAGTAGTTCCTACTTCAGATTAACAGTTGCAGTTTTTATATATGCTACCATTTGAAATACTGTTTCATAATAACATTTTTTCCCACAGAGTGCATTTTCAAGAACTTGAAAAAAAAAGAGATTGTGCAGTTACAGGCAGCATATGCCACACTAAAGGCACTTACAGACAGTATGTACCATACTAAAGGAGGCAGAAGCCACTCATTCAGGTGACATACACATCCTGCTGGCACCTGTGAGCAAGCCAGATAGTGTCTTGTCATTGTAATTATGACTGAAAGCCTTTATAAAGGATTTTCTTAGTCTTGGTCTGCAAGGAGAGGAGAGATGACGATGCCTGTAGTGTGACATGGCAACATCAGTGCAAGTTAAACCTCCCTGCTACCAGGATCACATTCAGGTTGTCTATCCCCGTGCTTCCTAACATGGCTGCACTTCTGAGATGTAGAGCTCATAAAGCTTTCTTGCTTCGTGAAGAAGAATCCAAACTGTAGCATCTGTGGTTTACGGGGAACATTTGTGTTAAAAGACATGTTCGGGGAACATCGTGTTAAAAGAGTATGCAATTTGAAATTTTCTGGTTCGTAATACAGAAGTTTCCAAACATCACAGTTTTGTTGAGGGTGTGTTTGCTGCAAGCGGCCCTTATCCTCCCACTTTCCAAACTGACAAATGTGAAACCCTCTCCGTTGCCGTTAGAGGCAGAGAGAGAGCCAGTTCTGGAGGATTTTAGAAAAGAAGGGGCTGTAGTTTCCGCTCGCTCCCCCTTTAACTCCCCACCATGGCTGGTCAAAAAACCAAACGGCAGATGGAGATTGACGATAGATTACTGGAAACCGAATGCCAACACGGGTCCACTAACAGCCACTGTACCAAACCTTGCTGAATTGATAGCCACCATTCAGGAACAATCTCACCCTGTTATGGCAACCAGTGATGTCAACGACATGTTTTCCATGGTCCCTTTACAGCCTGAGGACCAGGATGGTTTTGTCTTCACCTGGGAGGGACAACAGTTTTACACGACTCGCTATTTGAAGCGACCGCCGATGAGGCCCTTGCTCCCATTCACCCAACAGATCCGCTTCAAATTGAACCAGGATTTGCCAAGACTGGATGGTCAATCCATCTGTGGCAAAAGCGTCCAGAGGGGCCTATTCGGCCCATTGTTTTTTATTCTTGTAGCTTTAAAGACGCTGAAAAAATACATACAACTTGGGAAAAAGATCTATTTGTAGTTAGTCTAGCTCTGAGGGAAGCCGAACGGACCATCCGGCAACAACCTATAGTGCTCAGAGGCCCCTTTAAAGTGATTAAAGCAGCTTTGGCAGGAGCCCATCCCCTGATGGGGTGGCTTGGGGAGCCTCTGTGCGAAAATGGTACGCACAAATAGAACACTATTGTGATTTTTTTTTTGTATCTGAAGGAACCACAAAAGTGTTAAATATACAAGATGAAGTACACTTGGATAGAGAAACACCTGGGTAATTAATCTGTAATATAAGTAGCTTCTCCAATTGTTTTCTGGACAATTACAAAACGTCTGGTTTACGGATGCCTCGTCGAAGCGAGAGGGAAAAATTTGGAAATACCGAGCTGTGGTGCTTCGGATAGATACCAAGGAACAGGTTGTTGCTGAAGGGGAAGGTAGTGCACAAGCAGGAGAACTAATCGCTGCGTGGAGCCTTTTCCAACATGAGGCTCATTCTGCTGCTTCTCTCCGTATCTATCCTGACTCTTATGCTGTGTTTAAAGGTGCACTGAGTGGACAGACACGCTCTGGGAGGTGCCCCCTGCTATAGACCTGGCAAACCCAGGGCCCAGCACAATGTAAACAGAGGCGTTGGGGACACACAAAGAGTGAATTGATGGATCCTGAGGACCTGAGTGCGGTGATTGAAAATGCAGGGCTCTAGGGCAAAGACAAATGCAGAGGAAGGGCCTTGGTGCCTCCTGAGGCATTCAGATATCTGAAGGGAGGCTGTCAAGAGCGGCTTCTCAGTGTTGCCCAGTGGCAGGATGAGGCAAGAGGCACAAATGGAAAGAGAGGAAGCTGCACCTGAACATCAAGAAAAAACTTTACTGAGAGGGTGACCGAGCCCCTGGACAGGTTGTGGAGATGCTCCAAAGCACGAGGTCCTGATGGAGAATCCTGATGGAGCACGAGGCGCCTTGGCCGACCTGGCTGCGCTCACAGGAAGGCGGGCAGCGAGCTGATCTCCAGGCGGATGTGGGCCAGGTCGGGGAGCAGCGGCTCCTGGGAACACACACGGAGAAAGTGTCTTGGGGGCCAAGAGCGATCCCCTGTGTGCCTCAGCACGTGGCGCTGGAGGGGCACGGGCAGCACAGCCACATCATCCCTGCGGCAAAGGCGGGCTGTGCCCTGCCCACAAGCGGCATGGTGCTCTGCCAAGCTCGGGGAAGGGGCAGGGGAGGCCGGGACCCCCATGGGTGCCCAGGGGCTGCCACACAGAGGCTTTCACCTGCTTGTCCTCCTTGGCCTGGTAGTGGCCTCGTGCGCTCTGCATCTTCCATCCTGCTCGGGGACGGCAGTCCTCAGCCTCAGCAGGAGGAGCCCAGGGGAGGGGGGCTGCAAAGCCCTGCAAGGACCAAGGGTGTCAGTGTGGTCAGTGTGAGGCCGTGTGGAGCGGAGAAAGGAGCAGGGCTTGGTGGGGCTGACGCAGGGCAGGCAAGAGGCTCTCCTGCTCTGTGCGGGCTGCAGCGGTGCCGCACGTCAGCCTAATCCCTGTCCCCTGGAGCGGGAGCCGGGCCTGGCACTGCCCTCCCCGCGAGCCCCGGCCTGCGCCCAGCGTCAGAGCGTGAGGAAGAGGAGCCCTGTCGAAGGCCATGGCTTGGCTCGTGGGTTTGGTGATACCTGTGCACCGATGCCACCGCTCCCTTGGACCTGCTCTGGGTCAGCGTCCGCCTTGGCCCTCCTGGCCCTCTTTGGAGCCTGAAAGGGAGAAGCCGGCTTGGTCCCGGCATTGGTGCAGGTGTCCCTGCTGCCTGGCAGCTCCCATTCACCCCTGCCAGAAGTCCCCCTCCCCAAGGCATGTGGCACTTGGTCCCCCACAGAGGCCAGTGTTGCCCTGTCCCCAGCGCTCACATCCCTGCCAGCACCGCAGGGCCGGGACAAGGCCCGCACACGGGACGGTCATCCCAGGCAAGTGAATGCTGCTGCGAGTGCGGAGCCTGCCATGGGCCACCTCCCAGCACGCTGAGCTCCCTGGGCACAGAGGGGACTGGGGAGGGAGCAGCAGGAAACCTCTGCTTCCCGAGCGGGCTTAGTGGCAGCACGCTGCACCAGTGCTCCTTCCTGGAGCCAGGCACTGATCCCCTCCCAAGGGAATCACCCCAGGGCAATAAAAGAGCAAGACCTCAAGATCCCAAAGTCTGTGAGAACTTGCTGCTGGGTGCTCCTGTTCCCTCCCCACTTGTCCCGCAGCGCTGGGGTGCAGGCTTGGCTGCTGCACCCTCTCCCAGTGCCCACCACACAGCTGGGGAAGGAAAGAGGGAAACAGCCAAGGTCACCAAATCACAGAGAGTCGAGGTTGGGACCTCTGGAGACCTTCTGCTTCGATGCCCCTGCTTAAGCAGGCTCACTGACAACACATTGCACAGGGCCTTGTCCAGGCACCTTCCGAATGGCTCCACGGGTGGAGAGGCCATCACCCCTCTGGGTAACCAGGAATTCTCTCATCTTGAGCCTTGCCTATTAGTAAGTGCTATTATTTTTACTAATACAGAACCTGGGACACTGAGGAGCATAGTGCTAAAAAAAGGGGAAAAAATGGACCTCTGCTCATGCAGCGTGCTAATGACATGTTAAAAGTCATCCTTCTCAATCTCACGCATCTCCCTAGAGGGACATGGTTACTCGTTTTGGACAAACAGGAAGAAGATGCAAGCTGTCATCTCCATGACCACTTGCCTACATAGACAAAACAGAAGACAAGGCAACTGCAGCTCTAGAGGAAAATACCCTCCAGGAATTACAGAAGGATCTGCCATTTAAGCAAGGGGCACATGAGTGGTGTTCTCCGCCTTTTCCACTCTGAACAAAATCCCTTCCGTTCCCCAAGCAACCTCCAACCACCAGCAATTCCTGCCTTGGGTCCCTGAGAGTGGCAAGGACTTGGTGGCATGTGAATTAAAAGTGTAACACAACATACAGCCCTTCATCGGAGCAATTTCCTAACATCTATGAACTTGACTTCGTAACATAGTGGTAACGTTTTGACCAGTGTTCAATTTATACACCTTTATATACCATTTATAACTGAGAGCAGGAGCACACAGCTGCCTTCCCAGGGAAACATCAGACAGAGAAATAGTAAGCTACAGCTGTGAGGCCAAAGCACGGGGTAGGGAGACACTAGAGGTCCTTCCAGCCCAAGGTATGAGCTGGCACATCCTCCTCAAGAGAAAAAGTAGCCCAGGAAAAAGAAAGCGCAGCCTCCTCCTAGTTTACACAGGAATTAAAAGCTCCAGGGGAGGGAACGAAATTGATTGACACTCTTCTCCCTCCAGTACTGAACTGTATTTTTGGCTGCTGAATGGACTACAGACAGGGAGTTCCTCCTGGAAACATTCATTTTGGCAAGGAAAAGCAGTTGCCTTAAATGCCCTGTGGTTTGCAGCCCCAGAGAGGTCAGTAGTGGGGATATCCTGCCTCAAAGAACACGGCAACAGGAACGGAACATGCATCTGCTTCAGAAGGTGCAATAACCATTTGACATGCAACAAGCCTCCAAGGACCTGTTCGCCACCACTCCAAGCACAGGCGGAGTGTTTTAGGGGAAAACCTAAGGAGAGGGAACCTTGCAAAAGCCTTGCCCTGGCAGTAACCTGTAGGGCCCTTTCTGCACAGATACCCTGGGGCTTAAGAGCACTCCCAGCTGCACCACAGCCCTCCCTCTAACTCACTGTGACTTGTGGTCTCTCGGAAAAACGTAGAGCAAACAGGAGACCACGGTACAGCTAAGAGCAGGCCTTCTCTGGTTGCCTGCATGATCCCCCTGGGAAACCACTGCCAGGAGACAACCCCTCTTGGCATGCCCTGCGAGCTAAGAGGCCACGCAGGTAAGGCCTGTGCCGGAAGATTCCTGCTTCCAGCAAACCGTGCAAAACAAGGAACAAGGGGGAAATGGCCTGAAGTTGAGCTAGGGGAGGTTCAGGTTAGATGTTAGGAAAAATATCTCCATGGAAAGAGTAGTCAAGCATTGGAACAGGCTGCCCAGGTGGAGTCCCCACGCTGGCAGTGTTCAAGAAATGCGTAGATGAGGCGCTTAGGGACAAGGTTTAAGAGGGATGGTGTTGAGGGGTCTTTTCCAGCCCTAAGGATTCAATGATTCTAGGAAAACAACATGGCTGCCCAGAACCCCTGTACTTCAGCCAGGCCGGTCTTCTTCCCCTCCAGCTCTCTTTCAGCAGCTGGGGACAGCCTGCTCCTATGCCTCTAAGATTTCCTCCTTGAGAAATATCCAGTCCTTGCTCTATAGGACTGTCTCACAAGGGACTCTCCCAATGTCCTAATCAGTCCGAAGTCTGCCCCCCAGAATTTCAATGTACCAGTTGATGCCCCTCCTGACTTCACCAACTATCAGTTCATGGTCACTGTGCCCAGGACAGCTTACGACCACCACATCTCTCATCAATCCTCCTCTGTTTCCAAAGAGCAGGTCCAGCAGGCCACCTCCCCTGTACGCTCACTTACCAGGGGTTCACAGGAAGTTATCTTCCACACATTCCACAAGCCTGGTAGATTGAAGTCCCCCACAAGGACAAGAGTTGATGATGGTGAGACTTCTGCCAGCTGCTTGCAGAATGCCTCATCTGGACCTTCATCCTGGATGGGTGGTCTATTGCAGACTCCCACCAGGATATCAGTCTTGTTGATCTTCCCACTGATCCTGATTCATAGGCACTTGACTTTTCCATCACACTCTTGGAGCTCCATGCAGTCAAAGCACTACCTAACACACAGCCCTTCCTTCCTTCCTTCCTTCCTTCCTTCCTTCCTTCCTTCCTTCCTTCCTTCCTTCCTTCCTTCCTTCCTT